TATATATCATCATCATCATCACTATCACCATCATCATCATAGTCTTTTTTTCAATTAATTAGACCGTATGACCTTTTGAGTTTTAAAACTACATGATGTATATGACAACGATTTCATAGTATGGCTTTTAAATTGTCACTGTTCTCAAATACATAAGGATGGTTGTCTTTTCTAGTTGTCTAAAGTATGTTTTCATGATCCTTAAATCTATCATATATCCGAGTTTATGAAACTAATTCGTACATTCGACACTGATTTACCCTCTTCAGGAATGGGGTTGAGGTCGTGGTGGTAACGTCACCTGAATCTCAGCTATTAGTCTGAGTTAAAACCAATAACAATTTTTAAAACAGTACATCCCCAAGTAATAATTAAAAAAGAATGAAAAAAAGAAAAATGATTCTTATAGATAACATTCCCAATGAATAATTACAAAAAAAAAAGAAAAAAAGGCAAAAAAAGGAAAAATGGTTTGCCCATCGATAACAATATATTAACTTCTGCCCCCGTTGTAGTTTGCTTATTTTTATTTATTTGGCAGCTTGGTATAAATCATGTTCTTTAACTCAAAAATGGAAGTACCTACTTTTATTTCTATACCAGTAGATATTATGTGGTAGTAGATTATAAATTAAGAATATAACATGATAAGTTGTAGTAGATTATAAATTAAGAATTTACTATGATAAGTTGTTTCTCAACCTTGTATATATTTTGTTCGGTAACTCCACCATTTATAATGACTTCCTTTATCTTTACTTACTAATCTCTCTCATATTTTGCAAATGACTTCCCTTACTAATCTTTCTCTCACATTTTCTTTCTCATGTTTGCTATGGTAGAGTGCAAGAAGTATATGAAGAAATCATTATTTTTGGTAGGGGAGATTGGTGGTAACGATTACAACTATGCTTTCATTGCGGCCAAACGCATGGATGAGCTCAAGTCTCTTGTACCACATGTCCTTAAGTCCACCATGCATGCAGTAGAGGTGAGTACCACAGATATAGCTCCATATATTATTCCTCAATAAATTAGTATAGAAACAATAGTGATTTACATACCGACAATACGAAATGTTCTACGAGAAATTATAAAGAAAGTTGGTCAACCCACTTTTGTTTTAATTGTTTTTAAAATTGTACCTCGGGTCAACTCGAATTTTGATTTGTTCTTTTTAGTTTTTTCATAGGACAATGCCTTCAAGTTTTTTTTATGAAAAATAAAAATGTTAAAATGGGGGTCCCTTAGTTAGTCATTGTTAACGGTTGATGCAGGTACTGATCCGCAAGGGTGCGAAAAATGTAGTAGTACCAGGAAACTTGCCGATCGGGTGTTTACCGATTTATCTGACACTTTTCAAGAAATTTGATAGACAACAGTATGATCCACAAACTGGATGTCTTACATATTTGAATGACTTTTCCATCGACCACAACTCAAAGCTCCAAGAATCAATCAAAGTTATGAGACAGAGGTTTCCCCATGCAAGAATTATGTATGCTGATTACTACAATGCTGCCATGCGCATCTTCAAGAAACCAGAATCCCATGGTACTCAATCACATCCCAACACCTCCTCAACTTTCTTTCCAATTATCATATAGCTTTCTTGAAATTTCGTAGTATAATTTTTATAAGATCATAATTTGTAGTTTTTCCATGTAACTCGTCGCCAAAAGAAAAGACAACAAATGGAAAACTAATAGATGATTTTTTGGTTTCATCTTCACTCCCATATATATATATATATATATATATATATATATATT